GTGGAAAAAGTAAGTACCCCCCTTAACCCCCCCCCCCCCCCCTCAAATATTAGGACAGATAATGAATTGACATTTCACAAATGTTAATTGATAAAAGGCAATAATCATGTAAATGACTTTTTTTCCCACATAAAAAAAATTGAGAAAGATAAGTGCAGATGTTTAGTTGAATAAAAGGCAACAAACATATCAAAGTCACTGCCCACATTTGTTGAAAAAGAAAAAAAAATTCAAGGTGTGTACTTGCTTTTTCACAATACTGAATATAAAGACAATGGACAGTGGTATTGCTCTCACACATTCTATTTTTCTCAAACTGCAATAAAAAAATCAAATCTGCAATAATGCAATCCCATCTTGATTGGACTGATAATTCCAAAAAATGAAAGGGAGAAAACAAAAAATAATAATAATGAATCAATAAATTTGTATGCTACATGTCACATTGCCTGAACCAAAATGCTGATACATACCAATTCTGCAGTATTGTTTTATTATACTCTATGCCATGCAACCTTACACATATTGGTGATTTTTTTTCAGACTATCTTTTGTTGTTTAAGTCTTGTATAAAGAATGCAGATAGGCTATGGCTGTCTGAAATATTCTGAAATGTCAGAGAGAGGCCTATGGGAATAAACGAGAAGAGAAACATGGGCAGACATGAGTATCACACGACCTGTCTGCTGTGGTCAGGCCTCTTCCAATAATCCAGAGGTCAGTGTTCCTTCCTTCTCAGGCTGACCCACATTTAAACACCTCAGTCAAACTCCCAGTGCAAACAGCCAACTCTCAAACACATATTCTCCTATACACTTCAGACCCTTGAGAGAGACAAAAAGAGGGGTAAAGAGTGAAAAAAGTGACATTTTGACGGCTGTCCAATCCCGCTGAAGCCGAAGATGTTATTCTTTGGCTCCAATTTGAGAGGAACAGAACCTTTCCCCTTTCCTGTCATCCTGCTCTTCTGTGTTTCTTCCTTCCCTCCACATTCATCTCTTCCTCATTTCCGTCTTATCATCCAGAGTCTCATCAAATGTCAGAGGACAGCATGCTGTCCCAGAGTGCTGGCTCCATCGGCATCTTGAAATACATATTTGTGGTGTGACCGATCTCCCTCAGGTCCTGTGGAAAGGGTCAGCACATTTATACAGAACCCTGATGAGACCACCTAGTGAGAATGTGACGGGAAATGTCCCAGGAGACGTCACTCTCTCTCTCTCTTTCTCGTATTTTAAACCGTCCTTGTCAGTTAAACAAAACTTTTCAAAAAGCCTTTCACAAACTTGTATGTACAATGTAGGAACAGGCTGCTTTTATTTGACGTGAAGGGATAGTTCACCCAAAGTGACAATTCTGTCATAAAGAATGAAACACAAAAGAAGATATTTTAGAGAATGTTTGAGCTGTTTTTGTTCAAATAATGAAAATGTCAATGGGGTTCAAAAGTTTCAAACTCTAAAAAGGACATATAGGTGATTCATCCATACAACTTCTGATGCAATGTGGTCACTATGGTCAATATGGTATGAATGTGATTGTATATATTTGATTGTATATATAATATTATACAATATATAATTGTAATAATATAATTGTACAATATAATATTGAAGGCTTTATTCACTTTCAAATCAAATCAAAACACTGATCAAAACATGTATACACAGACTACATTAACTATGGTAATATGAACATCAAAAGTCAAACCTCATTGGTTCTTACACATCAAAGTGATGCAGAATACTTTGTATATAATAGATGAGTCATATCGATTAATTTCATGCATCTTAATGTCCCTTTTGCAGTCTTCTTATTGTTAACTAAAACTATTCAAATTGTTTTTTTAACTGAAATAAATCTGAAATAAAATTAAATATTAATATTAGATGAAAAGGTTACACTTGAATGAAAATTTTAAAGGTTTATGTTGAGGTACTAAAATTGCTAAAACTGAAAATGAAATAAAAATAAATGTAAACTAAATAGAATCATAAAAAACAAAAACGAATTAATACAAAAACACATACAATTACTAAAATTAAAATTAAAACTGATAATATAAAAATAAAAGCTAATTCAATATATTAACAGATACTATAATAGTATGTACATAATCCTAAAATAAATCCCTTTTAGTCTCTTAGATTCCCATTAACATTCATAATATAGACAAACACAGTTGAAACACACTTTAACATTTTTTGCATTCCACAGAAGAAAAAAGTCATACAGGTTTGGAATGACATGAGGGTGAGTAAATGATGACAGAATTTTCATTCCTGGGTGAACTATCCTTTAAGACTGTGAAGAGAGAATACTTCCAACTCAGTCTGTTTTTCCATATACTCTTAAATAGAAGCAACTTTTCAGTACTGTTTCTCTGCACTGGAAGACCTAACATTAAAAACATTATCCTATTAGCAGGTTCACAGGTAGGGTATGTTCTGCATAGTTATATAAAAGTTCCCGTTCAACAGCCCTCTCAAAATAACACCTCCACAATGTGAGCACAGGAATCACACCTATCAGCTCGTTTTTCTTTATCCTATAAGAATAATGTGTCAGCACCTTTTCTCATGCAGAATTCTGCCTGAACACATGTTTGATTCCGTGGTAATCAGGACGCCTGATTGATAGGAAGCTGTTTTTGTTTATGGAGCGTGTGAGCTCGCTGCCATCTGCTCAGAGATTAAACACTATACTCTGATGGAACACATAAACACCCATCAAGCTCAAAGCAGCCTGCTTAAGACACTCATAAATGCCCATTTTAAATCACTTACTCTAGTGCGTTCTTAACACAGACACACACACTCAGGGAAGCCTCTTTTGACCAATCACAGGCGACAGCATTAAATATGACCAGAGCCACCACAGGCACTTCTTTCTAAAGCAACAGCCTTGCTAGAATTATAGTCAGCGACTCAGCAAATTATAAATAAAAGCACAATATATATAAAAATGTTGTTTTGATTAATCAAACAGCCAGTTGCTTAAAAGGGTGCCGCAATCTAAATGAAATTGAAAGTGAATGCTAATAATTAATGAAACAAGGGTTGCATAAAAATATTTTAAAGCAGAGAAATTTGCTAAGCTGAGCTCAAAGCTGAAAGTAACTAGTTACACTGCACCCTACATGGCAAATGCTAAATAATAATAATAAATAATTAATAAATACTAAAAAGATAATACATGCTTATTTAAGTGGTTTCAATTGATTATAGATAAATGTTCCACTTCATCCAGCACTCTTTTCATTCTCTGTGTTCTAAAGTATCTTCTTACCGTTTTACAGACTGAAAAACCTCTCCAAGCTATTCAGAGTGTGATTCAGATTAAGAATCAATCGTGAATTGATTCAGAACATTTTGTAGCCTCTACACCTGGTTTATCGAACAAAACAATTAAAAAGAGTGACTCATTCAGGAATCGGGCAGTCTAGTTCTTATTCTAAACAGTCACTAAAACACTACTGTTCAAAAGAAATGATAATTTTGAACTTTCTGTTCATTAAACAATCCTGAAAATAATGTATCACAGTTTCCACAAAAATATTAAGCCGCACAACTGTTTTCAACATCAATAATAAGAAATGTGGACATGTAAAGGATCATGTGACACTGAAGAATGAAGTAGGCAATTGCTGCTGAAAATTCAGCTTTGCCATCATAGCAATAAATTATAATTTAAAATATATTAAAATTAAACAGCTCATTAATAATATTTCAGATAAAAGCAGACTTGATTAACCTAAGAGACTTCTTTCAAAACCATCAAAAAAAATCTTGCCAACCCCAAACTTTTGAGTAGTGTAAAACACTGGATATATGACTAGATTGCTGAAATATTCTTGGAGAAAATTTAACATTTGTCAATGCCTCCCTGCTAAGTAATGAATTGAATACAATAGCTTTGCTATCGAAGTGACATGATTTTAAAAATAGCGACACTAAAGCCCAAAAGTGGTGAAAAAAGATGGTTGAATAAAACTGAATGAGGCTGGGGAGCTCTGGGAGGGTTTGATGGTGCTGTGACCTACATGTTTTATGCCACAGATGAAACAGAGCAGCATGCATGCCTGAAAATTTCACATTTTTAATTCTCCTTCTGTGTCTCTCACAGGCCATATGGGCATCTTGGACAGGCTGTGAACAGTCACAGGAAGAGCTAACACGTATCAGAGAATCATGCATGGAGTTCAAGTTAGAACTCAAGCAAAAAGAAGTTACGAGATTGTGAATCAGTTCTTATAATCTTTTGTCAGGCAGTCTGAAATGGCCTGTTTTCTGAGTAGACTTGTGCCGGTTTTCGGTAATGCGATATATCACGGTAATGAATATGCACGATATTGTTATCGTGGGAGTTATATGACTTCACACACTGAAAACTCATAAACTGGTTAAATAAGCAGGGAGATCTGATACATCAGTAGCAACACAACAGTTTTGGAATATAACAGAATATGTGTGTTTGTGGAGGTGGGTGGGGGGGGGAATGTATGAGAAAAGTGTTTTCTCTTTATCACTTAATTTGTGAAAATGATCTAAAATTGAAAAACTTAAATGAAAACGATCTAAAATTTGTTTAATACCAACAAACACTACGTGTTAATTTACTTTGTCACCATTCAAAAGCTATTTCTAAACATATAATCCACAAAAAAATTCTGACTGACATCTCAAAGATCAGTGTCTGAACATTACAGGGAATGTGACTCAAAATTTTTATTTTATTTTTTTTTTGGTTTTATTGTTGATGTTCAAACTGAGAGAAAGAGACAGAGAATATAAGGCAGGCGGCAGACAGGGGATAAAACAAGGTCAGGGATGACAGAAATCATAAAAACCAACCGCTTTGGTTCTGTCACATGACAGAATGTGGCCCTCACACACACTTAAACACACAATGAGTGTTGGGGAAGCAACTTTAAAACTCAAAGCTACTTAAAATTGAGTGTTAAACTACAGTCAAGCTGTTCTTCGAAAATAAGTTAGCGATGCTACAAGCTACAAACAAACAGTAGCTACAATGAAGATACATAAGCATGCAAAACTCTTCAAATATTAGATTATATCATTTTAATTAGAAGAATAGTTGTTTGTTGTTAGTATCTGTCTCAAAAAAGGCTTTTTGAATGAATGACTCTAAATTAGGGTGACAGTGTTAAACTTTAACAGATACATTAACACTAAATAACTGTAAAAACTGGGCTTTAACTGCCATTAATGTTTACAAAAACAGTTCACAGCAAAAACAGCAGTGTTTAGTTACAGAAAAGACTCGGGATGCTGTGCAGTTACAGTACCTCAGTGAGTTTTTCAAACGTTACTAAAATCAGCGTATTTTGCTATTTAAAAAATGCTACACGGTGACTCAAATTGGTGAATCGATTCTTTTTTAAGGTCAATCTCCAATCTTCCAATGGACGAATTCACTAAAACAAGTTTTTTCAAACCAATGCTACATATTAAATTAATATATAAAATTATGAAAAATGTTGCTTTTTCTTTTCCAACTTGAATCATGTGCATAAACCATCCAAATTAACCACATCACTACTTGCCAATGCTACTGTACATATTAGACTAAGATGTAGAATGAGAGAAAAACATACTTATGAAAAGTTTTAAGTATTTTACTATACAGATGTAAAAGTCTACACAGCGATTCTGAGAATTTATTATGTTTGAACAGGTTAATTACAGTTAATATTCCAATGAACCAATTCACTAAGACCAGTTCTACAAATCAAACTAATATAGGCTATAAAATGAGTCGAAAATAGTTACATAAAAGCAGTGTTTAACCACATATTTTGTATTTTGTTTTTCAATCGGTTCATTCACATGATTCATCCTATAATGAACTAAATCACTAAAACAAGTTTTTAAGACTTTCCAGTGCTACATATTAAATTAATATATAAAATGAGACAAGTATTTTGCTTTATACAAGATACAATATGCTACACAATGACTTGAATCCCCTTACGAAAAAGAAGTTTATTCAAGTGTACTATTAGTATACTTCTTTTAACTAAAAAATAAGAAAGTATACTTTCAGTCTACATTTTATGTACTTTTCAGAAATGTGCTTTATGTACTTCTCAGAAATGTACTTAAAATGACATTTAAGTATACTTGACTTATACTTAGAAAAAGTCTAAATATATTTTGAGCTATACTTGTGCTCTAGGAATCCATCTTTTCATTGTTATACAGTAGGGGGCACTATTACACATCTACTGTACAAAATTTCCAAAACACAAGCGAAGAAGACACCGAAACAACAGATGCTTCCACATGTAATGTAACACGATCAGACATAAAACAGCATCAAAACTGTGTGATGTTATAGAATAAAATGTCGACCCATGAAGAGGTAATGACTGTCAAGCTTTGAGGTGTTGATTGACTCCATCTACGTTTTGATTATCATTATCATTCATCTTTTTTTGTTCAAAATGTTGTTTATTTATTTATTTATTTTTATTTATGAAACTTACCCACATTCATGTGTTTATAAAAAAGAATGCATGAAGCTAGAATAAAATGTTTTTGTTTACAAGCAGATACCCCGTTCTTTCTTTTGATGTTTTGTATGTTCAGATATTCATATAACAAAACATATACAAATTAATACCTAAATAGGGACATAGTAGTATACTTAAAGTATGATGTAAAGTTCACTTGAAGAAAACTTACGAGTATACTTGCAGTATAAACTACTAAACTAGTAGTTTACTGAGACTATACTTCAAGGTGTACTAAAAATGCTACAAGTATTTAATTAGTAAACTATCAGTATGCCTATAAGTTCACTTTTACTATAGTTCCAGTACAAACTAAACATTTTGATGTAAACTAGTTGTGTACTCAAAGTTTACTACTGTTATACTTAAAGTATACTAAAAAGTATATTTTATATACTAGAAAGTGGGCCAATTTAGTCACAAGGAGTATTGAAATAGTACACTTACAAGTATACTACTAGTACACTGATATTTGTATACTTACTACATAAAGTATACTTAAAAATATACTTGAACTTTACTTAAGTATGCTTAATAAAATAAACTTGAAGCATACTTCTTTTTGGTAAGGGTCTGTGAATCAATTCTTTTTGAACAAGTTAATCTCCATTTATCTTCCCACTGAATAAATACAATGAGTCTAAAACATGTATATCAGTTATGAAAAGCAACATTTAACTAAATATTTTGCTATTGCAAAAAGGTGTAATATGCTACACAGTGACTCAAATGAACAGGTTTATCTCAATGAATCTTCCCAATAAACCAATTCACTAAAACAAAGATTTCAGACTTTCCTCCACAGTTTTGTTTGGCTATGAAGCTTCTTGCACATTTATAAACTCTTTCCTCTATGTCCTTGCGACACACCATCCCCACTGAATTGAACTATTTCTCTTCATAGTTTTGATGTCACTGGTCTGAGAGTCTTGTTTAGGGTGGACAGGTTTAGGACATGTCAGACAGACAGAGCGAGACTCATGTTTTACAGGGCAGAAGGGCACAGGACAGACACACACACACACACACACACACACTCAGAGGGCAGGAGAGCTCAGGACTGCAGTCATCCACAAGAGCCGTGTCTCTTCCTGCGTTTCATCTCATGACACACTCATCTGTCTCTGTCTCTCTTTCCACACTTCTGTCTCTTTCTCTTCTTTATGCCCTTCAATAGACCAATTACCGGCTTGTAAACATTCAGGATGCGCGCGCATCATGGTTGCAGAAAACCCGGGAGAGATAGCCTTTACAGCTAGAGAATTTCACGGATACGGTACAAAATAGTTAGGTTTAAAAAGATTATCCAAATTGGTCTATAGATCTCTGCAGCCTTTCTCCCTCCTTTACTCTCTCTCTCCTGGGATATTAGTTTTATTGAGAGGATGAGCCTCATAAAGAATGACCTACAGTAGCAGCAAACTTTCTGGCTATATTCCCTGTGTATGTGAGTGCGAAACAAATACTTCACTCTCATTTAGCTCATTGTCCCTGAAGCTTTTGCTGCTCGTATAGAGAAGAAGAGTTTAGAGAGTTATCAGTTTTTCCCTACCAGTGGTTTAGTGTGTGTGTGTGTGTTCAGTCACCTTGCTCTGACCTGTTAGCAATAGTGTGTAATTAACTGATTGTCTGAACTATTTCCCACCTCTCATTGGCTGACACGTTTAACTTCTGGACTACTTATCCAATCAAAATGAAGAATTACTGTGTAGGGAAGACTGTAGTAAACAAAAGCATACAGATTTTATAGGCACTTAGTGCAAATAGCCTCAGATGCTATTTACACTAAGTGTAAATAGCAATTAGGTGCTATTTACACTAAGTGAAAATAGCATATTTTCTTAGCAATTGTGCTATTTACACTAAGTGCAAAAAGCAATGGATTCTATTTACACTAAGTGCAAATAGCGGTAGATTCTATTTGCACTATGTAAAAATACGAGTATTCTCTGCTATTTATACAACTTATTGCAAAAGTGGCAGATATCTGCACCTCAGTATTTTAGTACAATATAAAACAGTATGCAATAATAATGTATTGAGTGTAAATGATCATTTTTATTAAAATTATTAAATGGATACTGCCTTACTGGGACAATAAAGCCCTCCCTACACCTACCCCTAACCTTACCTGTTAATTTATTTTCAACTTTTCAATAATAATAATTTAATTATTAATTTTTATTGAAAAAAAAAGCCTTTCCGATGTGATATGAGATGTGAAAAGGGAGAAGAACGAGATTGGCAAAAGGCGGATCCGAACTCTGGTCGATCGCGTCAAAAAGACTACTGTACCCACTTTACCATCTACGCTACTGAAGCTGATGTTTGACTCCCGTCTTTTGTAATGTTGTCTAGCCCAACCACACATTGGTTGGCAAAGTTAGTGTAAATAGCCTCTGCCAACAAGGTGGGTATTTGCACTTAGTGTAAATAGCCACTCTGGATTTGGGCTATATTCTAATGTCCAATATGACTGTAAACACACACTGTGTGTGATTACAGGGGCCCACATCAATTAATTCCAGCAGTATGCTGTATAATTAGATGTATTTTTACATCACAATAAAAAGCAATGAATTCACAAATCATTCTCTATTTGAAATTTTGATATTTCAATTTATGGTCCCCTCCACCCTCTTCAAAAAATAGTCTGAGCCACCATTCTGCTGCGACAGATGAGAGAAGTTCACACAATGAGTGAGTCATGTTGTCAAGAAATGAAATCTGCGCACCACAAAAGAAAAGAAACAAGCAGTGCAGAAGCTCAACACTTTACCAAAGTGTTTAATTATAAAACAAGTCATATTAATAGTATCAGACAAGTAAAATTACTGCACAAGTCAGAAAAAGATGGTTAGGTTTACCACCCTTCTCATAACATTTTTTTTTTCTGACAACATCATGAAAATTAGATGGAAATAGTCTGTTTATTTTTGTCACATCTAAAAAACTAGCATTTTGCTTTAATGGACAAACACACTCAGTTTAAAAAAAAAAGAGCAAATTGTACTGCATTGCATCATTTGCTTGTCTACAAAATCAGGTAGATATTGCAACACGGTGAACGTATATCAAAATAAATAACAAAACTTGCATTTGATGTACCGCTGATTTAAGGTAATTAAATAGAATAAACCAAATGACAAAACGAAATTACACTACCATACAAAAATTATGAGATTTTTTAAGAAAGAAAGAAAGAAAGACAGACTTCTATTCAGAAAGGACGTTGAATTGATCCAAAGTGACAGTAAAGAGCTTTACACTGTTACAAATTATTTCTATTTGAAATAAATGCTGTTCTTTTGAACATCTCTATTTATCAAAGGTTTTTTCTCCATTTCTGTCACCGATGGACATAATTGATGGACTTTACAAAGTTATTAAACCAAACTGAATCAACAATGAACTGATTTCAACTGAACAATGACTGTTTACTATTATCATTTTAGAGCTGCTTAACAGCAGAATTGAATATTGTTTGCATCACTGAATCACTATATTCATGTTTATCTTGTTTCTTCAAACAATCTGTAATTTCTGCTGCTGATGCATCACATGAATAAATTGCATTACAAAATATATTAAAATAGAAAAGTTACTTTAAATTGTAATAATATTTCACAGTATTTTTTTTTTCTGTATTTTTATCAAATACATGTAGCCTTAGTGAGCATAAGAGATTTCTTTCAAAAACATTAAAAAGTCTTACCAACCACAAACTTTTGAATGGTAGTGTTACTTGTCTAATCAGAAGTGTAGTGTTACGAAGTCCATGGGGTCAATCCTCAGGAATCCATAAACTGATAAAGGTTCCCTTTGAATGCAATGCAACTCACTTTAGAAAGTGTCTGCCAGTTGCATAAATCAGAATCAATATACAGTAGTCTTCAATTACTATATAAAAGAAACAAGTGCTTATGACAAATAAACTCTTATCACTTTCTACTGGAACATTCTGCAGCGGCCTGTACATGACCCCAGAGATGTCAGTGTCCTGCGGTTCATCAACTCTTCTTCTCATAAATAGATAACATTCACTAGACTATTTTAAGCTGAATTAAGCATCCACCTACCACTGAGCTGTCTACAAAAACACTGTCTTTGGTTTGTGCTTATATCGTTCAAATTTCTGGTACAGATAGACACAAGAACCAAACTTCTGATCTTTAAAAGCAAAATTAAAATGTTTATGGTAATATCGCCCCAAATCTAACTTCATGCAATCCACATAAGCTGTTTTTTAATGAGACGGCTCATTAAAATGATCAACACTGTAGGTTAAAATTAAAATAAAGCAATAACAACAAGCTTTACCGAATTAACCTTGACCTTGACTTACCGATGTGACTGCGGTGAGAGGAGGCATCAGACAGATGACCCCAGAGAGACAGAAGGGTCAAAAACACCAGCAAGAGCCACGCGCACACCCTCTGTACCGCCCGCTCCTGCATTCTGAAACACACACACACACACACACACACACACACACAAAGCATATCAGCACGTGTTACACTGATCTCATTCCCTCCTTCAGTGCTATCTAAATGTCATCATGTTTTTCCTGAATGTTTTCTGATACAATGCTGAGTGCTCCAAAATACTGAATTACAATTACTTACAGAGAGAGTAAGCTTTCAACTAGTGGTTGATGCTGGTTCTGATTTTGGTAATGTTGTTGTCTGTCTGTTTGGTGTGGGGATTTTGTTGGCTACATTTATTTAATGAAAAATACAGTAAAACAGTAGTATTGTGAAATATTATTACAGTTTAAAAACTGTTTTCTATTTATATGTATTTTAAAATATAATTTATTCCTGTGATGGCAAAGCTGATATTCTAATTTGGTGCTCAGGAAACATTTCTCATTATTATCAATGTTGAAAACAGTTATAGTGCCGCTTAATATCGTGTTTCATTTTTTTTTCCAGGATACTTTGATACTTTGAAGTACAAAAGAACAGCATTTATTTGAAATATATGTTAATATCTTTGTAACATAAAATCTTTACTCTCACGTTTGACCAATTATTGCATTCTTGCTGAATAAAAGTATTAATTTCTTTAAAAAAAAAGTAAACTAAGACTGTTGCTAAGTATATGACATCAATTGGAGATTTAAGCTTAAACTAGCAAAGTCAGTTCCCTTCCAACCTCCTCACAATTCAACTCTGGATGAAAATAATTGACAATCTAATTAAATTAAATAATTAATCTAAAGAAATTAAATAGTAAAACTGCATAGACCACTGGTTTAGACTCTGCAAAAGAAAAAGCACTGCTCAGCTTTCTTCTTTCCCACTACTTTTATCTCAGACAGACATATTTAAGTATTTCATTTGGAGAGAAAACAAAAGCAGATAATTTTTTCACAATGTATTGACATCAGAAAGGTAAACAGTGCAGATAAACTCTACAAATGCATGTGTGCAGTTGTGTGTGCGTATGCTATTACTGTAAACATTAGTCTATAATTCTATATAACACTTCTGAGAGGAAGTTCAGAAGACATCATGTGAGAACATTTAATAGTATCAGCCAACCAATAAGAGCACATTATTAAGACTTCTGTGGGAAAAGGACGGTTAACAGAATTCTCTTGCAAAGAGAAGTTTGTGTACATTTTTCATTGATCATGGCAGCAGTAACTCATCCAATGATGATCAAATGATAAAGAAGAGTGTTATAACTGGGCACAGATCCAAAAACAAGGCATTGATGAGAATCTGCATTTTAAAGAGCTGATTCAGGTGCCTGGACTGCAGTAGTGGAGCAATGCTGTACAGTAGTTTCTGCATCCTTCACAATCTAGCATTACACAACTGGCCTTCAAAATGGGGAATTGCACAGTGCAAATTGCATTCAGCACTAATTTTGGGGCGTGTTTGAACCGTTACCTGATTTGCATAACTCCTTTAGTGAATTGGGTGCTAACACAACACAAACAGCATGCACAAATAAATGACATTATTAGTGGGCACAGTTCACTCTTAGTGAACTCTCCCCTATTATCCCCCCCTGCAGTTTTGTAATGGAGGCCTGTGAGTTGCTCTTCTGATTAGTATCAGTTTAATAATGAATTTGCCTCTTTACATTCATGGTGCACAACACACACATACTCTGATGAAACTCCAGGCACATTATTCAGCAGCCTGAAAAAGATCGATTTTGTGTGGGAAAAAAGAGAAATGTTAGACAAGGAAAAGCATGTTTTGAAGAAAGAGAGATAAACAACATTAAGAGGTGATTTGGAAATAGTTTGCCTGGCTCAGGGAAGTCTATGAGCCGCTGTGGGAATGTGTCAAATTATGCAGATTTAGCGTACTAATTATCTTTCAACAATCAGAGCTCAATAGAAATCTCTCCTGTTTAAAGCTGAGGGGTGGGCAGGAAAACCCCTGCCTGGAGGGAGTTTTACAGTGTGCAGGTGGATGGCCATGAACACACAAAAAGATACTGTCGCTGACATTTATATTCTCACATCATACCCAGAAATCTGCAGTGTGTTATTTCCGCACCACCAGTGACACCATATTTTTTCCAAACAGTTTCCCCAAACACTCCCATCTCGTCATTGTTAGGACAAACAGCTTTTTTGGGGTTTACTTAGTCATTGCATATTAAGCTGGGATAGAAGTATTTTAGCATATAGAAAAATATAAAACACATCAGTATTAACATTTAATTCTGTAATCAGTACTACTGTATAAATAGAAAATATAGAAACTGAAATGCAATTTATAGTGAAGTCCCATTCAATTTATACTGTCATCAGCAAAATTTGTAAAATAATACCCAATGAGTTTCATTATACTCCCTAACAATCAACAGATTGATCACACAGTAGAAGGACATTGCGTGTATTAGTGTGTGTTGGGTTGAGTGTTTGTGTGTTTGCTGCGTTTGCTCTGGCTGCTCTTCTTTGATGGCTAAACTTCCGCTGTGTGTTCATTAGTTCTTTAGTAGCTCTCGGTAAACACTGCCAAACACCCACTAGCTAGAGTCATTAACATGTCTCTGCATTAATACCAGTCAAGCTTGATAACTAGCAAATCTCCAGCAAGGATTTAATTGCTAGCTATATAGTTTTTGCAATTATTTTTCAATGTCAGAAAAACGCAAAGAGTTTCAAACGGATGTAAATTATATATATATATATATATATATATATATATTTTTTTTGTTTTTTTGGCGCGTGAATTTAGGTGGGAGGGGTTGGCCATGGTACCTTGTACTGCGTGTCCACATGGAGTGCTGTATTTAATATTTTTGAGTGTGTGTCATGGGTATTGAGTGTCGGGTAGAAATCTGAGGGTCTTTGCTGGCCTCCTCCCT